GCCAAGGCAAGGAATGAGGCCATCACACCAGACCATCCAGCGAGGTGAGGACCTTGACTGGGAATTCCTCTCATTTATGCTTGGCAGAGTGGCTCAAGCTCCCCATCTATCAAGAGTTTGGAACCTTGGAGCTCTAAGGAAGCAACAGCCCTTGGAGAAGACTCTTCCATGAAACCAGTCACCCAGAAGCTGTGGGTTCACTAGTTCATTCATTCATTCACCAAACACTTCTGGAGCACTTCCTTCTGTTCCAAGCTGCACTGGTTCTCAGCACTCAGGGTTCTCCGGTGAGGGGTAACCTGGCCCTTCCTGCAAGGAGTTTCACTTGCTTTTCCCTACTGCTTCTACCATATTGGCATTATCTCCCAGCTGGGCACAGAGCCTGGCATCCTAGCAGGAGCACACTCAAAATCTGTTGTTTGCTGATTGACTTGTGGTAAGGAAATAGCTTATAAAACACATCATTATTAAAATAAATTACTCTCAGGGAATTCTTTATATCATTAGTTTATGTAATAAACACTTATGTACCCTGTGTGTCCAACTCTTGGTTAGGGACACAGACATAAGACACCTGGCCCTGCCCTCAAGGAGACCATAGGACTTGTGGAGGAGGCTTGCAGAGCACAGGAATAGTGTCACCTTGGCCATCCACATGCCCAGTTCTACCCACACCTCCCTGATGCAACGACTGCAGAGAATAAAGCCAATGCTGCTTGGCCTGGCATCCTACTCCTGCAGAGTTCAGCTCTGGCAACCTCACTGGCACAGCAGTTGTCCTTCAACTTCATTCATTCCTATTAACCAATCTTCCTCACACCGGTCCCTTGTCCTGGAATGCCTTTTCTTTCCCTACTCCCTTTCTGCATGTCAGAATCCTGGACCTCCTTTAAGGAAAGCCTAAAATGAGTTATTATAATTACAGCTAACATGTAATGAGCCCTTCCCTGTGTGCCAGCCCCTGCTCTTGGCACTTCACATGTGCCCTCTCATAAAACCTCTCCTGTCCAAGGACCATTCCCTTGCCTGTGCCCATTGACAAGCCTGCTGAAGGGGCTCAGGCCCTGCTGATCATGCCTGGTGGTCCCTCCCTGGACTGAAAGTCTGAGAATGTGGCCTAACTCACAACTCTTACAAGTTGCTTCACTATGGAACTTTTCTGAGTCTCAGGGCCTTGCGTAGGCAATGGTGACAACAGCACACAGGGTCGTGGGAGGGTGGAAGGAAACCTTGAAGAATCACAGGTAGGGTGCTTGATACATGGTAGATGCTCAGTGAAATGGCAGCAAAGTTAGCCTGTTTGCCACAACAGTTAACCCCATAAAAACACCCCTCCACACACACCTAGTACTTAATGAATATTTGAGTGCCTACTATGTGCCCAGTGCTGGCTGGACATACAGTGTAGCTTCTGTTATACAAAAGCCTGTAACTTTTGCCCATTTTTACAAACAAGCCAGAGCCTCATGCTCACTCACCCCAGGTATGGGACAGTCCTGAGTCCCATTTGGGGCTGTAGCTGAGCCGTATTCAGCCCTTTGAAGGTCAATCTAAGAATCCTTATAATCACAAGGGACAGAACACTAGCTGAAGAGCATAATGACTGGGTTCTGCTGCCCCCTGGTGTCAGTATGATCCTACCACACAGGCTGGAGAGCTGTGAGAAGGTGCTGAGGGCAAAATCCTGATCCATGCTGGTGCACCCTGTACAAATTCAGGCTTTCATTGTGAGGCACGTCCCCAGCTGGCCACAGAGCCACCTGCTCTGCCTGGAGCTCTACCATCTGTCTGAATTCATAACTGCCATCTCCAACCCCACCAGGCCTCAAGCCAGTTCTCTACCCAGAGTGGGGAAAGGGGTGGATCTCATGGGCCTGAAGTGTGCAAGTCTATGCTTGTCCTGGGCATCTATAGCCAGAGGCGTCTCAAACCATTCTTTACACTGGCAACCTCATCTTGCCCACCAGGGCCAGCTCCACATCTCTTAAGGCAGAGGCCGGGCGGCGGGGGTCACATCCCATCTCCTTACTGGAGTCTAGCCTCGACTCAAGTCTGTGACTCCTTGGACCATGTCTATTCTTATCCATAACATCATAACGACCTCCTACTGCCCTCCTGGCCTCCACTCTCTTCCTCTTGACTCAGCAGCTAAATATTGGTGACCTCTACCACCCAAATACAACCTTCTCCAGAATCCTCTCCCACAACCCACATTGCTCAGGCACAAGACCCTGAAGACCCATCTCCCATGGCCGTTCTCCCATGAACTCTGCTGGTCTAGCTTCCTCCACTTGGAGCTTGGCCTCCCTGTCTCCGACAAATTCCCCTGTATGCTGGAGAAGGCCACTCAGATGTCACTGATGGTTAGATTAGACCCTGCGGCATGGGGCTGCCTTAGCCTAGAGGCAGGGGTACCCTTTTATAAAGTTATCCACCAAGAGTGGGTCCTCTTTCTACTTTTCACAAAGGTGCTGTATAGGCAGGCAGAAGCTCCAATCCATGGCTCCCATTGTCCTCTAGGTGTTTATGGCACTGAGGGCACACTTCCCCACACCAGACCCAGCATCTGACTCATGCTGGACTTATTTTACTTTCTCCTTGTTTAGTATTCAACACACAGGTGAGATCTGGGCTGGCTCAGGACTCAGTGCTGGTCTCTCTAGCAGGCAACAAGACAGACACAGCCCAGAGCAGATGGCTCCCTCCCCCAGACAGTCAGCTCCTCCTCCAAGTGCATACCATACCCCCATCCCGGACTTCATCATCTCTCCCTGAGGGCCCTTGAGGGAAGCCTTTGCCTGGCCCTACCTTGTTTCCCTAGGGCCAGGTTAGGTGGCAAAAAGCACATGACTCTACTAACCAGAGACATTGCCTCCTGTTACTGGCTTAATGGAAGGGATCTGGCAGCTGCCATGGGACCATGGAACCCTGGAGATGACAAGGCAGAGTATGTTCTCAGGTGTGCTCACAGGACTGCATTTCTTAACTCAGGAGTCTCTTCTGCCCCCAGAGAAAGGCTGGGGCCCAGGTGGAGTCTCAAGGAGGATGGACACATAACTTAAAATGCCCCAGCATTTTTCTGGGGTATTCTATCCAATGAGCACCATAGACCAGCCTCAGTCTCTTGCTTTTTGCATTAAGAAGCTTGGCCACTGTGGAAGGAGCCACTACCTGCCCCAAGAATCGCTCCTGCTTGACGGTTCTGAGGCCCTGTATAGTCTCTCAGTGAGGCAGATCCCCTAGTCTTCCATTAGAGGAGGCAGCTGACCACTTTGGGAAATGCTCCACAAGGAAGCAGGACTCCACTCTGAGTCAGTGTCAGCTAACCCTGCTCGAAGACAAGGACCTCCCCATGGTGAGGGACTTTTTCTCACAGGCTGCTGATGACCGCTGTCACAAGTGGTCCTGTCGCCCCTAGACACCTCCCTGTAGCCACAGAAGACCAAGTCTTCAGAGAGCTGACCTTGAACCCATGGCTGGGTGGGGGCCTCCTGAGGGTAGGGCAAAGGGGTCCTGGTAGGCGGGACAGGCCCTGAGACCATCCACCACTCAAGCACTAAATGGTGGCTGTTACTACCACTATCACCATGATTTTAATTATCCTTGCCCTTTACCTCCGACCCCAGCTTTAGCCCTGTCCTTGCCTGCTAGATGTGCCTCAGGACTGAGTGGCCCTGCACAGCCGGTCACAGACACTGGCAGACAGAAGGCGCTTAGGGAGCTGAGGGGATTAGGGAGGCTTCACTCACTGCCCCAGCTCAGGAGAAGTGTCCCTGTGGCCTAACTCAAGGCAATGGTGGGGGTGGGAGAAGTGATTACCTGGCCCACCAACCCTCCAGGTTCAGGCCTGATCCAGCCAAGCACTTAGCATTGGTTGATCAGTTAAAACCTTGAATGGAGTCCCAGTCTGCCAGATATCCATATGACATTAGGCAAGTCAATTCACCTCTGAACTCAGTAAAAAAAGGGATGGCACCAGTGACCTCCTAGGATTTTCCATGAATATTAAACAACACGTACAAAGTCTCAGGTAAGGATTTCAAAAGGGTCAACTTCCTTGGCTCAGAAAGAACTTATTACTGCTTTTGATGACGTTCTTTGAATGTGAGATAATAATAAACACTAACATTCATAGAGCATTTGCTATGGCCTAGGCCAGGTTTAAGGCCAATTTAAGGATCAAGCACTGCACATAAATTATCAGGCTGAATCTGCACTTGGGGGTGGGGGTGGAGATCCCTTAGCGGTATTATATTCTGGAGGACCCCAGGCTCAGAGAGGGGAGTAGCCAGTACGGATAATAGAACTGGCAGGTAGAAGGGCCTGTGGTGAGACTCCAGGTGTTGGTGTATGGGGGGGTGAGGGGAGGGAAGCGCTGAGGTGGGATTAACCAGGGGTCCTCGTAGCCGCCTAAGAAGTGCAGAGGTGAGGCTGACTCCTGTGAGATGGAGGGGAGGGCTCTAGAAACAGTGGGGACACAGCAGAGATTTCACAGAAATCTTGTACTCTGGCTGAAGGGAGGGCAAGGAGGGATCGTGAGGAAGCCTCTCGCCGGGATCAGAAAGCCCAGGTCAGTCATAGTTACATAGCTGACCTGCTGCGGGACATAGGCACCAACATCCTTGGTTTCTGGCCCCAGGAGATGGACAAGGACGCAATGTCTGTCCCCGGCCTTGGCTCAGGGCCTAATCTGATTCGCAGATGGTCCTTGCCATCAGGGAAGGGGGACGCAAGAACTTGGGGGAGGGCTTGTGGTGGGATAGCAGAGAGCAAGCCCCCATCCCCGTCCGAAGACCCAGGTGCTCCTCCAACCCGGCCCGGAGCCCGCGGGAACTGGGGGCGGAGGGAGTACCCGGGCGGCCCTGGGGACCTTGACTCGACAGCTCAGCAGCTGGGGATGAGGTTCGGCGGCCGCAGAGATGTAACACCCCCACCTCCGGCGAAGACCCCACAGCCTGCAGGAGATGGGAGTCGGGGACGCAGACAGGATGGGCACTTACCCACGAACAGCCAGAGGGAGCCCCCCGACACGAGGAAGAAGGTCAGCATGGCGGTCAGCGGGGCCTGGCCCGGCCCGGCCCGGCCTCCCAGGCCCGCAGCCCCGCAGTCCAGCAGCCCCAGCAGTAGCCGCGCCGCCGCCGCAGCTGCTGGGTATTTTTAGCCCCCGCCCTCCGGCTCCGCAGCTCCCGCCTCCCCGCGCCGCTGCGGAGACAACGCAAGGGGGAGGGCGCGGCGCGCGCTCGCACCCGAGCCTCACTGCCAGCCCCGCAGCTGGGCCGGGTCTGGGGCTGACCGCCTTGTCTGAACCGCCGAGCTCCCGGGCGGGGGAGGGGCATGGCCGCAGAGCGAACCAGCCCTCTCCGGCCCGGCTCCCCAACGTCAGTACCTGGCGTTCTGGGGAAACCGGCTGGAGGGGGGCGCACGGGCGACGAGCTCCGGAGCGTGACATTGAGCCCCCCTCCGCCGCCACCCGCCCCATCAACGCGCGACCCTGCCCCGCGCGACTCGCAGCCTGGTTTTATGGCTGGGCAGGCGCGAATGGCAGCCGGGTCGCGGTTACCTGTCCTGGGAGGTGCACACCCCTGTGGGCTGGTGCCCGCTGACACCAACGCGCCCTAGGACCCGAGTTTGGAGACATAAGGAGCCTCTGGGTGCCACCTCTGCAAAGCGATGAGGAATGGTCACAGGCAGCCACATAGAATCACAAGTGTCTCACGAGGAAGCAGACAATCATGGTCTTCATACATAACTATGTGTGGCCCACGAGGTCTGAAAAAGCCCCTTATAGCCACAATGAATAGCCATATAGCCACACACAGACACAGATGCCCATACTGGTTGGCTGAGGGTTTGGACACCTGTTTCAGTGTCTGGAATTTAAAGGAGGAAGCCCAGTTGCACATTTTCTGAAAGAATAAAAGTAGGCATTCTGTTAGGCACCCCATGGACATCTACACCTCCATGCAAGATCACCTCCTCCCAAAGTCCTTGCTTGTTTTTCTCAAGCAAGCGGAGCCCACCAGGCCTCCAGCACCGAGGACAGCGCTCAGGCAGTCCGGCCCAGGCCAGGAACCGGTTGAGCCTCAGCCCAGGAAGAGGAGGGTAGGAAATCAGGGAGCAGAAGTCGGGAAGCAGAGAGTGGAAGAGCATGAGATCTCTTCAGGCCCACCAGAGACCAACAACCATGAGTGAATGTGCACGCAGCTCAGCAGCTGGGTGTGAGTGTGGGGGGACCTGTATCTGTAGTACAAGTACATGACATGTATGTGCCCAGGCCTGTGTGCACCTTGTAGTGGTGGTGCAAGAGTGCGGTTGTGTGCCTCTGAGTCACTTCCAGTCTTTGCAATAGGATCCTACACCTTCTCCATCATAGGATTTGGACTCCTGGGAGAGCTGCTCCAGCTTGAACTCAGTCACAGCCCGGCAGGGACTTTGCTGGGATCTCAAGTTTGGTAGGGCTCCTCCAAGAGAGTGTGACAGAGGCTGTGTGGCAGCACTCCTCCCAGCAAGTAACAGGGCTGTCAGCATCCCCCCCACCCCTGCACTCCCACTGGTAGCAGAGTAACTGGAGATCTACTGGTACTGAGGAGGAGACCCAAGGGAACCAGAAGGCTGGGCAGAAAGAAACTATCTCCCCAGATCAGATTGGCCTAGGGAGGTGGTTGGATAATTTCCCTAAAGTCCAGGGGGCCAACAGAGCATTTCTTCACAGAGCAGGGAGCCAGGAGCCAGGAGCCAGGCCTCTGCGGCACTGGGCTGCAGGAGCACTCCAGGCCCTGTGTGGCTCTGGCAGCCTCCTCTTCAGAGTGATGTCATGGGACACATTTAGCTTGGCCTCCAGCAGGATGTCGCATCCCGTTACTCTCCCCACAGATGTCTCTGCTACTTGTGAATATTTTAATTCAAAAACCAGTACTGGAGCTGTGACTGATTCTAGCTTAGCCAAGTATTTTTCTGTTTTCCTCTGAACATGGCTTGGCTTCCCCTGAGGGATGGGGACAGGAAGGCCCTAGCCTGGTTGTGGGATCATGGACAGGTCTCTCACCTCTCTAAGCCTGTTCCTTCCACTGAGTAATGGTATTTGTTCTTTTCTGACCTGAGTTCCCAAGATCTTCTTCCCTTTCTGTGGGTCTCCATGTATGGTCCATCGGCAGGCATGGGCAGATGCTGTGACTCAGGGCTTTAGACCGCATGGGCATCCATGGAACCCAGGGCCCAGAAATGCCCAGGCCAGGCTGGGAAGCCCTTGGATATCCCTCTTAGCCCTTAGCCAGCAAACCCAGCCACCACAGTGGCCAGCCATGTTCACATCTATCTCCTCCCAGATCAGCATCTCTGAGAGGGCTGGCAGGCAGGAGTCTAATAATCTATTTACAGCCTTGACACAGGGTCTGGCCCAAAGAATGCAGAGGATATCACCCCATTTGACAGAGCAGAAGACTAAAGTCTGGAAAGGCAAACAACTGTCTCAGGTCACATATAGCAGTTCTGGACTCTTGACTCCCATTTATTCATTTTTCATTTATTCACTCTTTGAGCTAATGTTCACGTACATATGTTCTGTGTCCACTGCCTCCCGAAAACTAGGGGTTGGGGTGAGACAAATTAGAAAGCAGAAATAACAGCAGTCCAACATGTTGAGTATGTGATGACTAATACATACTCAGGCTAGAGTTGATCCTAGCCTAACTCAAGGGAAACCTCAAATATTCAAAAAATGTTTCAATTGAGCCCAAAATCTTGGGGTAAGAGTTTGCTAGACATCATAGTGGGGCAAAGGATACCACTCCCAGTCCTGGCTCTGATTCTGTCATGCTGGGCAACTGTGGGTAAGCCTCTGCTGCTTTCTTTGTTCATTGGTAAAGGCAGGACCCATCTAAAGGCTTTCGAGTACCAAGACTAACTGGCTGTGACTCTGCTGCCTTTGCTGGCTTTTCACCATCACAGCTGAGTGACCACCCTCTAGGCCTTCAAAGTCTAGTGTCCATTCTGTATCCAGTCTGCTAGTGAGCATAAGACCAGCATAGGATGGGATCAGCCACTCTGGACTGAGGTTTTTCTGCATTTAGGACATCTGGGCCATGCCTCTCTAACAGTGGTGAACTCTCTCCCCTACATTTTTGAACACTCTCCTACATTTTGATAGTTTTGCACACTGCAAGTATCTCTGGTAGAAGCCAGAAAACTCACTTTTCAAGCCTCCTTTGCAGCTAGGAGTGGATAAGTGACTTAGACTGTACCGATGAAACACACTTTTGTGAGCCTTTGATATAAAAGCCAGAAGTGAGTGAGAGAAAGTCCTACACATGGCATCTATTTTGCTGGCACAAAGATGGTAACAGAAAGCTATGGATGGTGGATGGTTCTGGGAGTCATTTTGGAAACTGAAATTTGAGCCCATTTCTTGAACTGCCACAAAAGTTCAGGCTTTTATAAATGAATGTATTCTTTAATGCACCCCTTTTCTGATTAAAATGGTCAGTGCGGACTTTGTTTAGTCTGTTGGAGCCAAGAACTCAAACTGATCCACTCACCATCCCACTGCTGAAGGTCTTTCCAGCCCTCCAGAGGGTGTGATTGTGGTGCTGACACACAGTATGGGCATCCTCTGTCCCCATTACTGCATCTCCTAGTAGAAGCTCTGGCTGACAGGCTGGGTGAGCTGAATTAGGTCCTTGGTTCTTTTTATCCCCAAAACCACAAATTCGGAGACTTGAGCCAAAAACTTGAAGTCCACCAAAGAGTCCACTAAGGAGAGCTACCCCATCTGGAGCAAAGGCTTTTAACACATGATAAAATGGTTGGAGAGCTGCAAACAATTGTCAACCATGTTTTTTACTGAATAGTGGTGTTCTTCCCTCCTCAGTTAGTAAAATTGTTCAATGTAGAAATTTTGGAAAACATAGAAAAGTATAAGATAAGATCACTTATAATTTCATCCCTCAATGAGAATGCAATAATAATCAATGCAGTTTTGTATATTTTCTAACAACAGTAATATCCAACATTTACATATGGCTTAGTATGAGCCAGACATTATTTCCAAGCTCTTTACATATGTGTTATGAACCGAATTGTGTCCCTCACATCCCAAGTCATATATTGAAGCTATAACCTTCAATGTGTCTGTATTTAGAGATAGGGCCTTTAAGGTAAGTAAAGATAAATGAGGTCATAAGGGTGGGGCACTAATCCAATAGGACTAGTGTCCTTATAAGAAGAGTGACATCAGGAATAAAGGCCTGAACTTTACTGTAAGAACTCAGAGAGAAGGCAATCATCTGCAAGACAAGGAAAGGTCTTGCAGACCAGACACCAACTCTACCATCACCTTGATTTTGGATGTCCAGCCTCCAAAATCATAAGTAAATAAAATTCTGTTGTTTAAGCCACTGAGTTTGTGGTAGTTTTGTTACGGCAGCTCTAGCAGCCTAATACAATATGCTAACTTGTTTAATATTTCATCAACCATGTCTTTTCCCCATGTGTAGTGCAGTTTAATAAATATTTGTTGAATGAATGAATGAATAATGGATATTGTTTATTCAGTATCTTATGTTGCCTTTTTTTTTCTTTTTGAGACAGAGTCTCACTCTGTCACTCAGGCTGGAGAGTGCAGCGGCATGATCTTGGATCACTGCAACCTCTGCCTCCTGGGTTCAAGTGATTCTCCTGCCTCAGCCTCCCGAGTAGCTGCAATTATAGGCACCCACCACCACACCTGGCTAATATTTTGTATTTTTAGTAGAGACAGGGTTTCGCCAAATTGGCCAGGCTGGTCTCGAACTCCTGACCTCAGGTGATCTGTACACCTCGACCTCCCAAAGTGCTGAAATTACAGGGGTGAGCCACTGTGCCCAGCCCTTATGTTGCTTTTTAAAAACCTGACAACATGAGTTTTTTTCCCATGTTATTACCTCTTTACATTTTAAACAATGAATACAGGATAAGCATTTGTACATTCATTCATCTAACAAGTACATGTTGAGTCCCCACTATGTGCAAGGCAATGTTCTTTGTCCTGGGATGTTGCAGTCAACAAACCAAAGGTGCCCGCCTGCAAGGAGAGCACTTGCCCTGCGGAAATGCCATTGTCCATCTGTCAAACATGAATGAATTTGCTTATTTGGGAGGGTTTCTTTTAATTGAAAATTATCTGTTGATCCAACCAGACAGTCACAACCAATGAGATTCTTTTCTTTTAAAAATGCCAATTAAATACCTTAGGGGCTTCTGAGATTTCTGCAGAGCTATGGAAAGGCAAAGATGGAGCTCTTTGAAGTTGTCCTGAGTCCA